GTGCTGCCCAATGGCTGTGAGGCCCACTGGGAGGTGGTGGAGCGAATCCTTTTCATCTATGCCAAGCTCAACCCTGGCATCGCTTACGTGCAAGGCATGAATGAGATCGTGGGGCCCCTCTACTACACCTTCGCCACCGACCCCAATAGCGAGTGGAAAGGTAAGAAGGCTTTTGGTGCCCACACCCCTTGTTGCTGGCCCGTGTCAGGCCGCGCAGCTCACTTTCCCTCTCAGGCCTCCATTCTCCTTTTCCCAGATGAGGGGTTGGCCTGGATCATCTCTGAGATCCTTTGCAACTGTGATCTTCTAGAATGTTAGATGTTTACTGATCTCTTGATATTTGTAATTTAATTTCTCATAGAGAAAGTGGATATGTAGGAAGCCGAATTAGAAGATGTAAATAATGATTTTCAAATTGTCATCAGGGGAGTGTGTAATAAACTGCTCAGTGAATGTAAGTGTTGCCAGATATGAGAAGAAAGAGGTGATGTCTTTAGCCTGGGGGTGGAGAAGGGTCAAGGACAGAGGAAGGACTGAGCCCCGACTTTGAGGATGGGGCAACTGGGCGGGGCAGTTGTCTGGTAGGTGAGAGGTGGGGTGGGCCTGGGGTGCGCCACTTCTGCCCCCATCCTGCGTCTCTCCCCAGAGCATGCTGAGGCAGACACCTTTTTCTGCTTCACCAACCTCATGGCCGAGATCCGGGACAACTTTATCAAGAGCCTGGATGACTCGCAGTGTGGCATCACCTACAAGATGGAGAAGGTGTACTCCACCTTGAAAGATAAGGACGTGGAGCTCTACCTGAAACTGGTGAGGACCCCAGGAACAGCGGGTGGCAGGGACAGGAAGCAGAGAGTTCCTGTGCCATCCCAGCCCAGGGTGAGGTCTGGCTTGAGTCTGGGGATTAAAAGTGGTTGCTGCTGCTAGGGATGCTGAACCATGAGCTAAAGCAGCTGATGGCCAGAGCCTAGCAAGCTGGGAGGGAAGGGGAATGTTGGAATGGCGCCCATTGTGTGCCAGGCATAGTGCAGGGCATTTACCATCAACTAAATTGCTTAAGCTGTTAGTAATCTTCTGAGGTAAGTGTTAACTTCATTTTTTAAGATTAATATAATTTTAAAAATTGTACTGGTATTCCGTGTTTATTTCGGAAAACAAAAAGAGAACATTTATTTACACGTAAACAAAAAGTTTCATGAAAAATAAAATATATAAGCATATCTTTTTTTTCTTTATTTTATTTTTTTTTTTGTTGAGAAGGACTCTCACTCTGTCAGCTCAGGCTGGAGTGCAGTGGTGCAATCTTGGCTCACTGCAACCTTTACCTCCCAGGTTCAAGCAATTCTCGTGCCTCAGCCTCCCCAGCAGCTAGGATTACAGACACACATTACCATGCCCAGCTAGTTTTGTATTTTTAGTAGAGATAGGGTTTTTCCATGTTGGCCAGGCTGGTCTTGAATTCCTGACCTCAAGTGATCTGCCCACCTCAGCCTCCCAAAGTGCTGGGATTACAGGCATGAGCCACTGTACCCTGCCAGGAACAAACATATCTTTTTAAACAAATATGGGTTGGGTGTGATGGCTCACAGTTGTAATCCTAACAGTTTGGGAGACTGATGCAGGAGGATCGCTTGAGTCCAGAGGTTGAGATATCCTGAGAAACATAGTGAAATCTTGTCTCTACAAAAAAATTTAAAAAGAAATTAGCAGCCAGGCATGAGGCCAAGGCGGGCGGATCATGAGGTCAGGAGTTCGAGACCAGCCTGACCAACATGGAGAAACCCTGTCTCTACTAAAAATACAAAAAAATTAGCCGGGCGTGGTGGCGCACACCTGTAATTCCAGCTACTCAAGAGGCTAAGGCAGGAGAATCACTTGAACCTGGGAGGGTGAGGTTGCGGTAAGCCGAGATCATGCCACTGCTCTCCAGACTGGGCAACAAGAGTGAAACTTCATCTCAAAAATAAAGAAAGAAATTAGCCAGGCATGGTGGCACATGCTTATAGTCTCCTACTCAGGTGGCTGAGGTGGGAGCCCTGGAGGTCAAGGCTGCAGTGAGCCATGATTGTGCCACTGTACTCCAGCCTAGGCAATATAGCGAGACCTCATCTCTTAAAAAAAAAAATGTGGCCGGGCGCGGTGGCTCAAGCCTGTAATCCCAGCACTTTGGGAGGCCGAGGCGGGTGGATCACGAGGTCAAGAGATCAAGACCATCCTGGTCAACATGGTGAAACCCCGTCTCTACTAAAAATACAAAACATTAGCTGGCATGGTGGTGTGTGCCTGTAATCCCAGCTACTCAGGAGGTTGAGGCAGGAGAATTGCCTGAACCCAGGAGGCGGAGGTTGCGGTGAGCTGAGATCGCGCCATTGCACTCCAGCCTGGGTAACGAGTGAAACTGCGTCTCAAAGAAAAAAAAAAAAAATGTTTTTGCTGTTTTATAGCATACTTTTTCAATTAATATTCACTGTGGCTGACCAGAGGGCTCATCTATATTGGGAATAATTGCCTGTGGAATTGTTTGTGGATTAAATGAGTGAGAGGACATATTTAACATGCTAAGCATAGCCCAGGCTTATAGTAAGGGCCCTGTGATGGTCACTCTGCACATCCACATACCCTGTCATCTGCAGAGTGTTTTGAAAGAGTTTGAACCATCCTTTATAAATCTGGAGAGCTTATTATATAAAGGTTTGGGTTTCCAGCTTCTTTTACAAAAAGATCTGAGGATGTTGGCTGGCAGGAAACAGCCTCCTGCCTCTTTACCAAGTGAGGCTGTCTGGCAGCCTGGTGCCAGCCATGGTGCTCACACCTGGCGTGCTGGGTCCTGCTGTTCTGAATTCACTTCTGACCCATTGCATGGTGCTCCATGGCCACCAGCCAACATGGAGTCCTGCTCCCCACCCCCACACTCTCTCCTCAGCAAGAGCAAAACATCAAGCCCCAGTTCTTCGCCTTCCGCTGGCTGACACTACTGCTGTCCCAGGAGTTCTTGCTGCCTGACGTCATCCGCATCTGGGACTCCCTCTTCGCTGATGACAACCGATTTGACTTCCTCCTCCTCGTCTGCTGCGCCATGCTCATGTGAGTGCAGCATGAGCTAGTCCCAGCTCACCTGGCCAGTCCTTGGAGTAGCCAGAGGGGAGGAGGGGGCGGGGCCTGCACTCACAGCATCCCAGGTCCCAGCCCTTTTGCTGCTTGCTCTTCATAGGCTGATCCGGGAGCAGTTGCTGGAAGGGGACTTCACTGTGAACATGCGGCTGCTGCAGGTAATGGGATGGGGGCAGGCCCAGCCACTGCCATGAGGCTGGCACTCGCCAGGCACCCACCCACGCCAGCTGCTGCGATAGCCTGGGCAGGGGCGGTGGAGCGTAGCAGGGACCCCTGAGACAGACCTGGTTTGGATCTGGGTTTGAATCCTGGTTCTGCCTCTGACCTGAAGTGTTGGGTGGACTTGAGCAAGTGACTTGGCCTCTAAACTGTGTACTTGATGTAGGTGTTCACACCCAGGACACAGCAGGTACCCGAAACATGGCTGTGCTTGCCGGTGGCCCTGCTCAGACCCAGGGAAGGAGGGTAGGGTGTAGTGATTAAGAACATGGGCTCACCAAGTGCAGTAGCTCATGTCTGTAATTCCAGCACATTGGGAGGCTGAAGTGGGTGGATCACCTGAGGTCAGGAGTTAGAGACCACCCTGACTAACATGGCAAAACCCCGTCTCTACTAAACATACAAAAATTAGCTGGGCATGGTGGCATGCACCTGTAATTCCCAGCTACTCGGAGGCTGAGACAGGAGAAGTGCTTCAACCCAGGAGGCGGAGGTTGTGGTGAGCCGAGATCGCGCCATTGCACTCCAGCCCGGGCGACAGAGCAAGACTCCATCTCAAAAAAATAAGAATATGGGTTCAAGGGCCTACAGCTTTAGGTCCACAGTTTTGCTCTGCTGTGTTCATCATGTGACCCAAGGCAAGTTACAGCATCTCTGGGTTTCAGCTTCTTCAT